CCCAATAAAATTATTTTTTTGTAAATTCTATTTCGAGTAATTTTTTTCTGTTGCATTTTCCATCACGAATGTGTGGCTAGTCTTTATAGTTTCACCTCAAATTATTTCTAATTCTTTTAAACAAATTTTCGTTTCATTTGCTTACTTTTCTCAAGCTCGCCCTCATTTGGTTTTCTGCTATCTTTTCATTCTATTCCTCCACAGATTTTTTTAGGCCCGCGTGTGTGTGTGTCTGTGTGTGTATGTGTGCCTCTCTGTGTGTGTCTGTTTGTGTATGCAGGTCTGTGTATGTATGTGTGCCTCTCTGTGTGTGTCTGTGTGTGTATGCAGGTCTCTGTGTGTATGTGTGTCTCTCTGTGTGTGTATGTGTGTGTATGCATGTCTGTTTGTGTGTAAGTGTGTGCGTGCGTGTGATTTGTTTTCCTTTTCTTAGTTCTGACAGCTTTCTCCCAATCTGTTATCTCATCACCACTTCTGTTTTGATGTCGTTTTAATTTGTTTCATTAAGCCCTTTGAATTCACAGAAAGATATTTTACCGGTTTTATGGCATTATGTTTGTTTCTCTGCTATTTGCTTAGGTTTCCATTTGCTTTTCCGTTCCTTTTCTCACAGACTTGGTATAAAATCTCATGCTCTGCGTGGGTGGGTGCTGCTCTCCCCGAGTGAGGGAAATGAGCCCCCGCAGCCAGCTTTTCCGTCTGGGGCAGGAGCTGAGCTGGCCATGAAGCTGTGACTGTTGTGTGTGAGAACGAGAGAAGGTGAACCAGACAGACATGTACAGATTCGTGTTTGTTTGTTTGTTTGTTTGTTTGAAACCATTTTATTGGCATATAATTCACATACCTTTCAATTCAGTGGTTTCAATATATGTAAAAGAGTTATGCAATCATCAGCACCATCGATTTGAGATCATTTTCTTCATTCTTGTGCCCATTATTAGTTCCTCATCACTCCCGACCTTCCTCGTCATAACCCTAAAGAGCTACTCCTCTCGTTGCCGGCTCTGTGCAGTTATTACCTGTCCTGGAGTTCAAGTGAACAAAATCAGATCAGAAGAAAAAAAAATTCAACAACAAAAAATAAAACACAGAAACATGTCAATCCAAAAGAATAGAAAAGAATAAAAACTAGAACTAATTAAGAATGAGTCAAAGGGAAAACAAATGGTAAGGTGCTAAACTGTAACCTAAACTGTATCTGCAGTGATCCACTTTCCACTTCAATCTGTTTGAGGGCGAGACTGATCAGTGGCCCAAGGGAATCCAACAGAGGCTTAATCCATGCGGGGACTCTTGCAGATTGGTTTAGCCCATATGTCTCCCCAGCAACTACCCCACTGGCTATGCAGAGTCCCTACTTAATTAACTGTCTGCCTCTAACACAGACTTTTTTTTTTCATATACTAAATGTATTTTTAAAATCATTTTATGGGGGGCTCATATAACTCTTATCACAATCCATACATCCATCAATTGTGTAAAGCATATTTGTACATTCATTGCCCTCGTCATTCTCAAAACATTTGCTCTCCACTTTAAGCCCCTGGCATCAGCTCCTCATACTTTCCACCCTCTCTCCCCGCTCCTCCCTCCCTCATGAACCCTTGATAATTTATAAATTATTATTTTGTCATACCTTACACTGTTTGACGTCTCTCGTCACCCACGGTTCTGTTCAGAGACAACATTTTAAAAGTTTTTTTTCAGGCCTAACTTCCAAAGAGAGAGGTGGAAAGTTCCCAGAGAGAACTGCCACCTTCAAGCAGGGAGATGATTTGCCCTCAGATGACGTACCATGTAGTTGGTGCCCTGCCCGATCTGTTTGCGAACTGAAGCTCCCGCAGGTGTTTCCCCTCAGCACTCACCTGGTCTCTCACTACTGACTGGCAGGCAGGCCCCATGTATTGCGCCTTGTGGTACCTTGTTTGCTTTCTCATTTGGGAATGATCTCAAGGGTGACAAAATGACAGAGGTAACTTCATTTTGTTTTTAAAAATAAATTTTTATTTTATTTTTAAAACTAGAGCCATTTTAAAGAAAACAGGATGTCTGTATTCTTGGCGTACATAGGTCTACCATACAACTTCAGGCCATGATAAATAGGAAAAACTGTTTCAAAATTCTGCGTCCACCTCAGTAAGAATGAACTTGTTCATTAATTACCTCCTTATTTTCTGCTTTTTAGTGTGACAAGTACAAAACTGGAGTCATTGATGGGCCGGCGTGCAATAGCCTTTGTGTTACAGAAACTCTTTACTTGGGAAAATGCTTATCCACCAAGCCCAACAATCAGGTAGGACACTGAATAATCGCTCCAAGTCGATAATGCTCTCTTCATTTGGCATTTGACGCACGACATGATTAAAAGAGTTCTTAAACCAGAACTCGAGGACATAGTATATATTTGAATCATATAAGTTTTGACTCATTCAATGGTTCTTCACTAACACCCTGATCCCAGTGTGTGCTGCACCCAGTTTAGTGACTGGGAGCTCAGGGATGAGTGAGCTCGACAAGATTACTTCCCTGTGCACCTTGCATTCTCCCAAGAGGAAAAAGGAGCACAACAGAAGTCAATCAAGGTGATAAACAAACAAACATCATTAATAGAACATGGCATCTTCTATAAAGGTGAGATGACAGGAGACGGTATCAGGGAAGACTTTTCTGAGACATCGGAGTTCATACCTGTAGGAAGCATTGAACCCCGGGTCTGAGCAACAGATGTGAAGGAGCCGACCTCACGAAACTGAAGAGACTGCTCTGTAAGCAGAATGCACAGCACGGAAAGCGTAGGGACATGCTTGATAGACTCAAGGAACAAGAAGGGAACTATTGTAGCTGGGACGCAGATACTGAGGGGGTAAGGAACAGGACCAGTTGAGAGACACCCCTAGGCTCGGACACCTCACAGTCAAGGGAAAGAACTTGGGACGTTAGTCTAATTGAGAATCCATTGGAGAATTTGAAGCAGAGGAATTATAAAATCTGCTTTGCTTGAATGAAGATGCTTAGTAGACCCAATGTTCTTTTTTGTGTAGTTGTGAAAGGGACAGTCCAGCCTAGCGGTTAAGACCAGGTATGAATTTTGAGGTTAGGTTGCCTACGTTCAAATACTGGCTTTGGCACTTTTTACTTGAAAATTTTATTCCACTTCTGTCCACTTCATTTTCCCCATCAGTAAAATGAGAATAGTAATAATACCTGCCTCATAGAGTGGCTACAAGGAGTGTATTAATAAAATAAATTAGTAGGTCATAGCACATAGTAAGCACTATATGGTGTTGTCTTGATAGATAGGTAGTTAATAGTGATTACTTCCGGGGGTGGGGTTAGGGAGCTGCAAGGAGGGCAACCTTTGCTTTTACCTCACCTCTGTGTGGTTGGACTTTTAAATTAGTTAGGCGTGCTTTGCTGATATACATTTAAAAACTGATTCAAGGAAGAAAGCTTTGGAGTATGATAAAAAATGCGTGGTTTAAAAAGAAAATCACGGCTTGGTTTTTTAAATGGAAATGTTATTGTGTATTGGGTGTGTGGGGGGAGGGTTACATTGGAAACCATGAACTCTGCATTCAACAGGACAAACCTCTCTTTAAACCACTGCCCCTTATTCTAGCCCACCTTTCCCGACGGCTCTTCTGCCTCTTAGGGGCCTTCGTCCTCCCTTCCACCCAAGTCCACACCTGCCAGCCTTCCAGTCCGTTGCTTCATCTTCCCACCCGTGCCGCCCCGCCCCTGGGCACCTCCAAGTCTGTTCCCTTGGACAGGAATGCCTTTGTCTTGGTTTTATTTTATTTTATTTTCCCTCATAACTATGGTCTCATACATGTGTCACATGGGGACTGACTGACTTCACTCATGTTTTCTAGGTCCATCCACGTCATGGGGTGTTTTGTCCCAGCTCAATTTTGATGTTTTTAGACTTTTTCTTTTTAAGTAGGATGATCTGAAAAGATACAGTGATCTTATTTTTTGAAGAATGTTCTGCTCAGCCTTGTGCATAACTCATTCTCTTTCACTTAGGTATACTTAGGGATTTGGGATAATCTGCCAGGTGTGGTGAAGTGTCAGATGGAACAAGTACTTCATCTTGATTTTGGAACTGAATTGGAACCAAGAAAAGAAATCATTCTATTTGATAAGCCAACAAGGGGAACTACTGTACAGAAATTCAAAGAAATGGTCTACAGCCTTTTTAAAGTGAGTGCCTTCGATTTCCATGGTGTTTGTGTGAAGTGGTACATGCTTCTGGAAGTTGCCAGGACCTTGTCTTAAAGCCATACAGAAGTGAGGTGTGATTTGTGTGTTACCTGTTTCAGGGACTCCATTGTGATGAAATGTCTCGAAGGAAAGGAGGATGTATACTTACAGTAGCTAGAAAGGTGTCCACGTTTGGGGGGGTGGGGGGACTAACTACAGATGGGTAGCTGCCTTCTCGGGTGATTGTAACTGAATCCCATCAAAAGAAAAGATGAAACTTAGAGCATCCTGGTTGCAAAGTACATTTAGAAATTGAAGTTAATAGTCAATCAGACAGGGATTAAATAGAAATGTACAAAAATGAAGTTGTTTAGGGAAAAATATTTTTTCTCAAAATTTTGATTGCTTTTGTTTTCAAAGTTCTTTTCTTTGACCGTTTTATTTTCAGACTGTTTTGTCATAGGGAAGCTTAACAGGGGAAAACTTTCTGACTCTCATGATTGGAGCAACACAACTTGAACAAAATAATTGTGTCACTCACTAAATAGTGTAATTATTAGTGTAACTAAAAATAATATTCACTTGGCCTTTTGCATACGAGTATATTAGATGGCAGCTTTGCAAGTAACCTCTGTGTGGCTAGAGCAAGCAATAAGACACTTTGGTGTCTTCATTGAGTCGAAAGGGTATGCAGAGCCAATTCTTAACAAATATATGTAGTAAAGTAGACTTTACTGCGATTACATAAAACATGCTTGATTCACTTAGGAAGCATCATAGATAATTGGAAGCTGTAACATAGGATGTGAATTCCTTTGTGGGAGTCATATCAAATTCAGGACTCCAGAACCCCACAGTTCACTGCAATTGAGTCAGGCCTAATAGTGCAGAATAGACCTGCATCCTTGGGTTTCCAAGACTGTAAATCTCTTTGGGAGCAGAAAACCTCATCTTTCTCCCTCTGGGCGCCTGGTGGATTTGAACCACCGACCTTGTGGCTAGCAGCCCAAGTAACTCGTGACACCAGAACTCCTTAGAGTAGTACTAGCATGGTAATAATCCTCATAAAGGAATTTCAAATGTTATCAACAGCTGTTTTTCCATTCCTAATGTCTAACTAGCCAACTTTTATCTTTATTAGGCTAAATTGGGTGATCAAGGAAACCTGTCTGAACTGGTTAATCTCATCTTGACAGTGGCGGATGGAGACAAAGATGGTCAAGTTTCCTTGGGAGAAGCAAAGTCAGCATGGGCACTTCTTCAACTAAATGAATTTCTTCTCATGGTAATACTTCAAGATAAAGAACACACCCCCAAATTAATGGGATTCTGTGGTGATCTCTACGTGATGGAAAGTGTGGAATATACGTCTCTTTATGGAATCAGCCTTCCGTGGGTCATCGAACTCTTTATTCCCTCTGGATTCAGAAGAAGCATGGATCAGTTGTTCACGCCGTCATGGCCTAGAAAGGCTAAAATAGCCATAGGACTTCTAGAATTCGTGGAAGATGTCTTCCACGGCCCATACGGAAACTTCCTCATGTGTGACACCAGTGCCAAAAACCTAGGGTATAACGACAAGTATGATTTGAAAATGGTGGACATGAGAAAGATTGTGCCGGAGGCAAACGTGAGAGCACTCATCAAGGACCGTCACTGTGAGTCGGACGTGGACTGTGTCTACGGCACAGACTGCAGAACCAGCTGTGACCCGCGAACAATGAAGTGCACTTCAGAAGTGATCCAGCCAAACTTGGCGAAAGCCTGCCAGCTGCTCAAAGACTACCTGCTGCGTGGTGCCCCAAGTGAAATTCGGGAAGAATTAGAAAAGCAGCTCTATTCTTGTATCGCTCTCAAAGTCACAGCCAATCAAATGGAAATGGAACACTCTTTGATACTAAATAATTTAAAAACATTACTGTGGAAGAAAATTTCCTACACAAATGACTCGTAGTTCAGCTGGACATTGTTACCACTGTAAAGAAACTTAGAGGTTTTGAGCATTTTAAAAAATGGCTTCCGATTTCAGTTCCCTGCCAATCACTCAGAATGCCCTCCCCTGGACCCCTGAAGCCACCACATAAACATTCCATCACTACATGGCCGGCAAGGGCCGCATGCCTGCCTTCTTCAGTGCACACCTGTGTACCGATCTCAACTAATGACTTAAGAAACAATGCTGTGAAGACCCTCATTCCCTAACAGTATTTTGTAGATTTTTGTTAGCCAAAATTCCATTACTGGAAACATTGTGTCTGCATTGAAGCTGCTGTTTAAAAAAGAAAATGTACACATAAATTTACTAATGTCTTAGCATGGTAAAGTTTGCACATTAACAGAAACTAAGACTGCAGAAAAGCAGGCACATTACTCCTTTACAAATGTTGGGTAATGTTCTACTATACGTACCACACATTTTGAACCTCACCTAGCCCTCAGTTGATAACTGTGGTTTCAGAATCTGCCCTCTAAGTGGACCTTTCATTAATCTTAAAATGAAAAATCCTTTGGGCAGTATTCCACGTGGCAATTCATATGACCAATACTGGCTAAGTATTCATGCTGTTATCTCCCAGTGAAACCCAAAGGGTCCACCAGTTACAAGTACCAGCAAGCCGACGGAGCCTTTAAAAACTCAAGGCTATAGACCCAAGTATCCTGAATTTTAACTATGGTAGAAGTCAGAGCTCGCCGAAATAAGGTCATGGGAGGCATTTTAATATTCCTGTTATCACTTTTTACTGGCCAGAGGGCTATTTCTTAAAAGTCACCTTTTTCCCATGTGAACTTGATAGAAGGTGAATATTGCCCCTTATCCATGTTTTACATCCAGAGCTGGCCCACACCCATCTTATCACCTGAACATTTTTCTGTTCAAAGGTTCCCTGAATGTGTTAAAAGCTAGACACCCTTCACTGGACACCGGATAGCTTTGTCAACAAAAATCAAAGCCATAGATGAATGCCAATTTGAGATCGTATTACTTTGAAGGCATTTTTCTTCCCACGAATCATCTGGTTACAATAAATGGATGGCAGAGCGGTTTCCAAGTGATGACCTGTTGTTTGACACTTTGTTTGCGGGTGAGTGGAGGGTTGGTATGTCTTCAGCCTTTGGAGTATGGGATCTTCTGGTGGGGCAAACCCCCACAAAATAGATGTGCAGTTGGGGTCAGTGTACAGACAAAACTGTCTTGGATAATCTGCCAACTCTTGTTTTTTCACACTTCAACATATTCCCTATAGCTTTATAAAAAAGAGCGTAAGACAGAAAGCTGCTTGAAATAGTTTATTGTATTTATGTAATAAATCCTCATGGAAAATTACAGTTTGGTTTAGCTTTCTGCAACCCGTTCCTGGGCTCTGAGGAAGCTTGCCTTCTTCTGAGCTACCCGGTCTTTCTTCTGGGCAAGAGACATTTTGGGACGATTCCACCTACAAAACAAAACAGATTTTTAAGATCATAATAAAGGCAAATAGAGAATATTACTAAAAAAACAAAAGCCCGTGATCAGATGGAGAAAAAGCCAAGCATGTCGTTATTTATTAAACCCCAGCTTCATGGAGCCAAGCAAGAACCAAACAATGTAATGCTGGGGTAATGCTCAAATGGTTCATTAATTGTTACTTTAAAAACATCAAACCTCGTCTAGGACACTTCTTCCAAGCAGTAACTGGTAGTCATTACTGTAGTAGGAAAGAATGGGCTACCCTCAGTAGTCCCTGAGGCTAAACCATTACTATCCCCACAGTTACTTTAGCAAACCTGGTTCCCCTTGCTTCTGCAACATCATGCAGAGCTAGTGATCGAGTTTGCAAATCTTCACACTGAGAATCTGGGCCCAAAAGATGAAAGGAAACCATAATTGAACCAATCTCTCATGGCCTTCTCTTGCAAAAATCCTAATAGTAAAGTGCATACCAAAAAAAAAAAGTGCATACCTCTTCTTTTTCACATCTCTCTTAGGCTTCTTCTCATAGACCGGATTCTCTCGTATAGTGGCATGTGCTTTCTTGTACATCTCCTCCATCTGAAACAAAGGAAATCAAACAGTACTGGGTTCCACTTCACACACCCTACACGATGATCATGTGCTGGCTCCTGGCTCAACTTTGGCCTCTAAGACACTCTCAAAACCAAGTCATAGTTGGTAGCTCCTTAAATTTCTAAATGTAACCAACCTTCACTTTCTCACAATGCATTCCTAATTTCACCTGGTTTAATAGAGCAATTGACATTGACTAAAACAAAAAAGACTCATTACTATTCAAGAAAAATCTCCAAATATCCCTGAAAGTTCCAACATGCATTTTCAATACACAAGGCTTCGAAAAAGTGGGAAAATTCCCTAGCCTCTTACACCTCCGGCCCGTGACGTCTTACACCGCCAAATCACTAGCAACACAGCCAACTGGGCTTTTCTGGAGCCACAGAGAGGTCTTAATTTTCTTAGAAAACCCTCAAAGATGATCAGACTTAAACCGTTTCTAAAACAGTGAAAAACATGTTTCCGTTCCTTTTAAAATATATAAATCACTTTATCAGGGACTTACAACAATCCATACATCAATTTAGTGGAGCTCATTTGACCATGTTGCCATCATTTTCAAAACATTTTCAACTTGAGCCCTGTAATCAGCTCCTTTTTCCCCTCCCTATCATTTTCCTATCTTATACACCCCACTGTCTCCCTTCACCCACGTTTCCGTTGTCCCCCACCACAGTGTTATGTGTATACATCGATAATTTCTATCAGTTTCCCCTTTCTCCCCCCACCCTCCATGGTATTAATACTCCCAGTACTGTTCCTGAGGACTTTATCTGTCCAGGATTCCATGTGTGGAGAGCTCTTAACTGTATATGCTCCAGTCTAGCTGGCTTTGTAAGGTAGACCTGGGGTCATGATAGTGGGGGTGGGGAGCATTGAAGAACTACAGGAATGTTATATGTTGTCGGTGCTGTGCTGCACCCTGGCTGGCTCGTCCCTTCCTTTTTGCCATTCCCCTTTTCTTAAACCTTCTAAACCCTGTCCTTGGGTAAATGCTGCCCCTTTGATCTCAAAAGTTTGATTATAGCACACATGGGGTTGTCACAAGCCAGAAGACTTGATGGCAAAGAATTTAGATGTAATTAAGAAAGTCCAGGGTGCTTGGCCTTACTGGGGTTCTTTACTTGCTGAGGCAATGGGAGAAGTCTTGCCATTAATGCAAAGGAACTGACTCTACTGAGCAGCCAGCTTGTCAGTGGATGCTTATGTGCTGCTATTAGGCTGAGAAGTTTCAGAGCAGTTCCCAGGCTAAGATGAGATGATCTAGTGGGGAAAGGCCAGCTTTACTTCATAAAAGCCTGACAGAACACCCTGGCCCAGCCCCATAGTAAAAAAGGCACTTGCCTTGAGCCAGGGGCTCATTTTGAAAGCAGTTAACAAAGAATGTTTAGTAATCTGGGCCTCTAAAGTTAGTTCAGAGTGAAGTATGCAAACATTGTTCATGGGCAAAAAATATAAAAGCACTTCAAATATAAAAATGTGAGGCCCCATCCAAATCTCTTTCAACAAAGTGTTGTCTCCCCTTTAGCACTGTATTACAGCTGCTCGTTAGGACAAACCTGCCCAGGTAAGCAACCCAGTTACGAAGGTCCAAGAGATCACACAAATACAGTGCACATGGAGATAAAGAACCACGGGTTTGGGTAAAACTGATTTTCTGTAAGAGACATAGCTGATGTCTGCAGAGCATTCCGGTAAGCACAAGTGAGGAAACCGGCCACTGCAGACCATCCAAGCAAGAAGTCAAGCAGAATCATTCTAACAGTAAAGGGCCCCATACACGGGGTTCTCTGTAATGTCCAGGAATGTACTTATGTCAAGCCTAACACTGAAGCCCTAACCTACAACTCAAGTTCTATCAAAGTCATACAAAAAACATGGAAACAACTTGGATGGGGAAAATAGCCATCTATATTCTATTCCCAAGTACAGCTCAATTTTTAAAAGCTTTTCATGGTTAAAGCTGTGCCAATATAAAGACAACTAGCAGTAACCAAAAAAACCTAGCGATTACGCAATACACTATCCATTTATACTCAATTGTAGAGTTACATTCAATGCAGCAAGCCTCAAGCTGCATGATTTGCTATGATGAAAGAACCTCTCCTCACGGCTTCAAAATCAGTTAAGTTGAATAACTCATAGAGTCATCAAAAGCTATAGATGCTGGAAAGATTTCTAAAAGCATGTTGACAAGTTTAACTTATGCACTACCTTTATCTGATTTGGATCTAGCCTAGTCTGGTCCAGCGTATTAATTTTCTATCATTTCACGCTAAACACGGGTCCAGTCTGTATTTACAAACACACCTGTAATTCAACTCATCAGCTGGCCTGAAACCAACCTGTATTAAGAATGCCCCCACACCCACAAAATCCATAAACTCAATCTACAAATCAAGGAACATGAGTTTGTAGGTAAAATCTTTACCATGTCAGGAGTTACGTTGTTCTTTATGTATTGAGAAAATTGTTTCTTGTAAGCATCTTCATCCTCTTCCATTAGGTAGCGCATGTATTCTGCGACGTTCTGACCCAGGATGTGTTTCCGATGCACCTCTGCATTGAATTCCTTGCTTTCTGAATCATAACCGGGGAATCGCTTGGTACTAAAACAAAGTTTTAGTATTTCAGTATTTGTTGACAGGAATTGGCTCACTAGTAGGAATTCATTGCACTCATTACATGAAGAATAGCTGCCATCAGTCCCGTCTTGAAACAAGCAATTGCATCACATGCAACCGAAGGACCAACTACCGACTTGCTCAGTTAGAGGGATATCATCATCCAGCAGCTCATCTCCAGATTCCAGAAGAGAAAATAACTCACACAGTCCCCTGGCTAAGCCATTTAATATACAATACTAAGGGTCTCCCCACTTACAATGTTCTTGCATCATAGCTTAAGAATGAGTTTCAAAATTGCCCTGCAAAGTCCTAGATTTCTCAGTAGTGCCTCTGGGGCACATGGGAGTCATGATTCAGTAAAATTACCAAATGAGCATGCTCTGGGTGTACTCCAAGTATGGAGCTTGCAAAGTACACTCATGTACCCAAGTAACACAAGATGTGTACATGACAAGCACCCACTTAGCTTCTAAGAATAGTCAATCATAATGCTGATCAAACTTAAGAAATCTTTCATAATTTCTTTTCTCAAACTCTAACCAATTAAGACATGCAAATATAACATTTTAAACTCCAGCCTTCCCACTTACAGCTCCATTACCTCACACAAACTACTGTTACCTGCATGCCTCATTTTTAAACATTACAATCCCACTCTGTCAGGTTTCTTCTGTGGAGTGCCTAGCAAACACCAGCATTTAACAGTGCTGTTCTGTGACTGATTCAGTCACCTCCACAGTCTAAACAAAGCGGGAACTAGGGCTGTATGGGAGGCCTTGTATGACCTTACCTATGAGGGATAGACAAGCCTCCGTCCACAGCCCCCTTCAGAGCCCCAAACACTTTATTTCCAGTGGTAGTCCTGGCAAGGCCGGCATCCAGATAGCAGGTGAAGGCACCAGGTTGACCGTCAATGCTTTCCACATTGTATTCATCTCCAGTCACCTCCACTTGGCCTTCATAGATTTTGTCCATGCCAAACCTATTAAGAAGCTGTATAAAAAAAAACCCAGCCCAAATATGTAGCTCAATATATTTAAGCAGGGCTAAAACTAAAATACCCCGTGGTCACAACTTCTGAAAACATTTCTTCAATTCACTCATTCCATTAACCTAATGAAATTTTAAAGATTACTGATATTGAATATGAATAAAATCCTTAAAGCAAGATCCTGAGCTTTAAAGGCAGTTATCTTTTTTGGTTCTTTCCTCCAATTACATGATGTAAACTTGGGCCAGTCTAACTAGCTCTGGTTGCAAAGGGATATATTTGTACAATTTCTCTCATATAGAATATCAATGTTCACCACTCAAGTATGTTTATAATTAATGAAGATGTGTCTTCAACGTGGGTGCATACACTTAGCATAAAAAGCCAGCAGTAGACAAAGCAGGAAATAGGCAAAGCCCACACTTCACCCCCCTTCCCTTTTATGCAGCTAGGATGCTGGTTACCCCCAGCTGCTCCAAGGGAGAAAGATGAGGCTCTCTGCTCCCATAAAGAGGTCCCTGCAGGGTTGCTATGAGTCACAAGTGCTGCCGCCCCAAGATGAAAATGATTAAAGCAAAACAAACCCTTCTTTACCATTGCCTCCCCACAAAGTTTAAGACACTGCTTCTGAAATGTGTTTGGATCACTTGGACATGCTATTAAACCAAGATTTTGGAGCCTGGGTGTTCGCTTAGATGACACAAGATCTATACATCTGAATCCAGTAAGGCGGCCACTAGCCACATGTAACTACTCAAACTTACGTAAATCAAAACAAGTATTCAGTAAGTAACCAGATACATTAAAAGGATTCAGAAACCACGTGTGGCTTAACGGCTTCCTTAATGGACAAGGCAAATTATAATTCCCAACATTGCCCAAGTCTACTAAACAGAACTGGTTAAAATGTACTCAGAGTGGAAGACAAATAGCCACTTTACATGTTAAGAAACAATGCCACAATTCAACCTTCTGTTGTCAAATCACCTTCCCTTCCGATGCTCTGTAAGCCACAAGAAGAGTAGCAAGTCCCATGACGTCACAGCAATAAGCCAACTCCAAAGTATGTCAGGTTAAAGGACTGTGTACATACATACCCTGCGGGCCAGCAGCAGGCCAGTACAATATGCTGCAGCATAATTGGTCAGGCCA